CTTTGCAGCGTTGATTGGCTGGCGTCTGCCAACCTCAAACTCGCTTCCAGTGCTGGCCGCGCAAGCCAAAAACGGCTAGTGGGTTCTCCAGTTTTGGAGCTTACTTGTAGCTGTGCGGAGTTGGTACTAGCGCACAGTGTCAGCAACAGTGCAAGGGTGGACCTGGCCCGTGCGGAGAAAGTTTGAACCTGACAATCCTGGACACTATTTTCGGTCCCCACTGTACTTTCGAAGTTCTATCTATTATCCCTGTAACCAGCAACCCTCCTAAGGCTTGTTCAGGATCGCAGTCTGTCTGCGCCAAAAATAATTTTTGGTCAGGTTCTTCGGACTTTTCTTGGTACGCGAAGGGTAAAACCGGTTTTGTAAGCAACCGTGTGTAACAAATAGCATGTCGTCGCCCCCCTACCACCTTAGGTGCCGATGTAGCCAGAGACAACTCCTTGCGCTCTCTTATAGAATGTGAGACTAGCCTATAGGTTCGGCGGTAGATCAGGATTTATCATTTGAGGTTGACTTTCCTCCCTTCGATTGCGCTCTTCGCCTCTTAGCCAAAGTCACAACACACGTCGACGTCGCTCAAGGCACTGATCCTAGGCAAGGGGGTTTATCTAGTCGTGTTAGAGTGCGATCGTATGTCTAGCACCATGAGACTCGCTGACTTGCAGTCCCCCCCCAGAGTCGGCGATACCGACAACAACATCAGTGGCGCCGATGCCATCCTCAGGGCGGATCCAGTCTATTGGGTTCCGCGACTCAAGCCCTTAATCCGCGCAGACAGAGAAGGAGAATCCATCGTCGCGATTTGGAACGGAACGGGAGCCGACAAAGAAGTCATTTGTGCTAGGATAAGTGCTGCTATAGGAATCAGGCAAGACGAAATATCCGTCTACAGCCTTGGACGCGGGGTGGCGGACCTCATAATGGTCGTTACGAATGGCTCGCCCAACTATAAGCTCGCAAATATCAACGGCATAGACAGTGGTAATTCGTCTGACGGCACCTTGGAGAGACAAAACGAGGCATGCCAATCAAACTTTGCCAGCAATACAATGCCTCTCGGCACCGCCGCTACAGACGGCGCCATCGGTATATCGAGTCTTGCAAATACAGCTGCATTGGGGCGCCGGCCGTCGCGTCCTAAACTGGAAATCCCGTCGAGCTATCCCAGAGATCCACATTCGTGTTCGTGGTATTCCCACGACGCCTCGCAGCCTGACCATCTGAACAGAGGATCAGTCATGACACCAATCACGCCGTTTGAGGAGGATGGATGGGTTCCTACTCCAATAGGCCCAAAAGCACCGCGAGCGCCGCAATGGATATGGAAGCACGAGGCGACGCTGTTTACCATAATGGAGGACCCCAGCATGTGATTGGGATCTACCTCCTGGACAAAATGGTATGCCACCTCTTGAGCTGTTTAACCATGCGCCAAGCTGAGGATATTAGAACATACCAACCTACGGCGGATCAATTCGGATGGACAGACAAAGCTTACGAAGGTCACAGCTGTCTGGACGTTTACGCATGATATAGTAGATAGTTCGTCTATGAGATTCCAGCTCTCTATACAACTAAATATTCGCCACTGTTGCTAAGACTACCGCCATTGTAAAGTAAGATTGAGGAATATTCTTTGCGACATTAAGTAGAGCTAAGGTAGCCGAGGGGGTGGCGTTGTAGGCCGACGTGTTGCTGGGCCATAACGAAGTCATGTACGGCCATAAAGAGGCCGTTAACGTGGTAGACCATACCGCTTATAGGCGCGAGCTGCTGATGTAGACACCTGGCATCTCTCCTGTACGCGTCTCCAAGGAGGCAAAGATAACCCGGCTGTCTGTGGACACCGGTTCTACCGTTCCGGCCCTCCCAGGATCATATTTCTACGTCAACATACCGGGACAGTGCAGCGGCGTACAGTCGCTAGCGAAATCGGCTTCCGTTTTCCTCTTTCACGTCATTTCATCGCACGGGCCTTTTATGCATCTAACCGCCCACACCGTGCGATATCGCACGTGCCTAAGTATAGCACGCACATGTGGATTACGTGGATAGATGATGCAATGCTGACACTAAGACCTACGTTAGCCAAAAGTGGCCGCGGGAAGAAAGTGTCACGAATTGTCAAGGGCTCAGGCCTAAGGCCATGAGCAGCAGTGTTGGATCGTGGCCGATGGCCTTGGGTTGACGTGGCGGGGCTGTTCCTCTTC